GTGCCGCCTCTCTCCTTGTACAGATTGGTTCGATCAAAATAACTCTATCCATCATTTTACCCTTTTGCCCCTGTCATTGGGATGGGTCGGCCTGTTCCATGTTATCTGTGGAATGTTCCAGTATAGTGTGTTTTCTGATATCTGGTGTCCAGTACCTTTTAGGTATGTCTCTTTTTGCAGCATCAGCCCTTTCCTTGCCAGCTTCTGTGAGCAGGGCCTGCCTCTGGCTCACAGCTTAACTTTGCTTTATGTTAGCAAAGTCTTGACCATTACTTTAGTTCAGGCCTTAGGCCTCATACCAGGCCTCTGATACCAAGGTTTATATCTCAGGGCCTCCTCTTACTACATGTGTGTGTGTGTGTGTGTGTTAGCAGATGGAGAGACTCCAAACCCATATAGTCTGAACTCAACGGGCTTTGGATATGTAACCTCTATAGGCTCCCTTGAAAATCCCAGTCCTATATTGTGTTGATACCGCTTATCTTTACAGTGGGCAGAGTCAGATCCAAAGAACTCTGGGATTTGAGGAGCTCAGAATCTCCACCTGGATCAGGCCCATCTGGAACTGTGCTGCTCCCCATCACGTGTTCTTTATTCTGAGGGACAATGGGATTTTGTTGGTCCCTCACGTTTCTCTCTGCCTCTGTTGCTGGCTCCCCCATTTGCTGTCATAATCTTCAGCAACATCCGAATTGCCATTGCATCAAGCCTTGATGATGTCGTAGCCAGAGGAGTCTGACAACAGGTATAAGATTAAGCAGCAGGTGCAGGCAAGCTGTACGGAAGACACACAGCCCCTGTTTTCATGCAAATACCCAGAATCATAACGAATGAAGGGCAGAGAAAGAGAGATGGGGACTGTGTGATATGTTAGCAGAATTCTTACTTCAAAGGCCATTTTTCAAAGTTTCCCAGGAGGTGTTGGTGTCTCTTTAATCCTTCACCTCAGGATTCTTGGCATCTGTTGGCACTGTGTTATATTCTGGGCATGTTGAAATGTAACACGGTGTAACAAGACATGATCAGTTGGATGAGGCTTTATGTAGCATGAAAAGGTTTCTGTGCTTTCTCTTTTTATTATTTACATTCCCAGAGAAGGTTATATGCCATGTGGGCTTTGCAAAGATAAATGGCTAACCCGTGCTTTCTGGCAGCTTCCCCAGAATTCAGCAAGGATTCTATCTAAGAACTGGTCTAATACTTTTTATATCTGGTCTCAAATTTTAGCCTTGAAGGACCCATGTGAGAAAAAGATCCCGAGTGACTGTGCATGTTATGAAACCACGTGCAACTGGGCACCACTGACAATTAGGAGACACTCCAGACTGGAACAGCAGAAAGAGAGGCAGGACAGATGTCAAGTGCACTGGCCTTGCTGTGTGTGTAGCCCAGCAGTGGCATAGCAAGGGATGAATTGAGTCAGGAATGTAGTGCTTCAGCAGAACTCTGTATGGAGCCAGCACTGCAATAGCAGGGGGAGTTGGAGGTCAGGACTGAGCTGCATCTGTTGATTTGTGTCCAAGAAACTCACACCGTGCCTGTCTATGCTTAGCATGATTGGCCAGAGCCGCTGTCCAGCACTTTCATGAGCAATAACATTCATCACCTTTACTGAAGCAATATTAATGCAGATAAGTGTCTGAGTGGCTTAAAGTATAAGATCAGCTCACTCCTAGGCTCCTGCTTACCACAGAACTAAATCTATGTTTCTGGAATATTTCAGTGGAAGGGAGTTTTATGGCTGTGTCATCAGCTTTTTGTTCTATTTACTGCGTGTCATTAGTCTTCCTGCAGGGTGCAATCCAGGGAAGCACAGCAATCCTGCATGGGATTGATCAGTGACTGCTCGTAGGGAGCGAGCATGTGCTAACAAGGTCTCCAGTAGCATGCAGCGCACTGGCTGGCATGCACTTGTATTGCAACTCTCCTGTGGATGGAATGTCAGAGCTGCTCACGTGTAAGGAACTCACTCTGTAGGGTCTGCGTGTTTTGAAAGGAGGCTTCAGTTGATGTACCAGAGGCCTCTCTATTTGGGTCGTGTGTTCCAAGGGTCATGTGTTCCACACCAGCCATACCATATATCTACTGTTAGCTGATAAATTTCAATAGCATTCACGTGTGAAGCCAGGAGAAGAATCCCCTGTGAATTTGCTAGAACCCTTGGGCCCAATCTTGCAAGGTGCTGAATGCCCTCAACAACCCATTGTCTTCAGTGAGGGATGCGGTCACTCAGCACCTTGCAGAAGTCCTCGGAGGGTGCAGAACCCAGGCAAGTGAAAAAACTCAAATAACCTCCACTGGGTCTCTGGAAATAAGTTCTGGACACGCTCCAGCCTCTTTTGTAGCATATGGTCTAGCTGAGACAAGGGGTCTCGGGTCGCCCTGTGAGGTGAGCAGGATTCAGGCCTCTTACATCACTGGCAAAATTATGGCAAAACCTTCCCAGGCTTTTGTGGATAGCTCGCTGACCCTGCTCTTGGTTTTCCTTTTGGCTGATGGCAGAAATACATATGCTGGAACGAGGCCTCTCAATTAACATGCTGCACTTGCTCCCACGCAGAGGAGAGATAAGAGTTGTTAAAGCTGTAGTCATCAATTGCAAAAGAGAACACATTTTATTTTGCTTTGTGCTATTTACAGCTGTTGTCCATTCAGAGTTCTCAGGAGCCCCATTCCCCGCTACAACTGCACAGCCCCATAAGTTTAACTCAGCAGTGAGACTGAAAAACCGCACTAAATCATGGTGATGGGGGAGAGAAGAAAATGTCTGGAAATGGGAAAATGTAGCTGATGTCTTTGCAAAGGCTGAAGTTTTTGCTTGTTGCTACTTTAAAGTGCTACAGCCAGACGGCATAGAGGCTGTAACGGAATAGAAGCCTCACCCTCTGAGACTGGCAAAATGCTGCTAGTGGCTTTGCAAAGGCCAGGGTGATCCTTTCGTGCAGTTTTTAAATGCTCAAGGCATTTTCTGTATTTTGATCAGTGTAACCCACAGCAAGTCATAGTATGCGAACAATGTGGAACTAATATAAGGCTGTTGGGAAATTGAGTTCTAGTTCACGTTGCTTTACTGGACTCATGATACGGCAGCTCTGTGTAAGTTCTCAGATCACAGGTACAGCTTACATTGTTTTATACCCGCTTACTTGTTGGCAGGAGGAGAGGGGGCTGGGGAGGAAAGAGGGAGAAAGAAAGAAAGACAGGGAAATTAACTCTAGAACTGAGTCTGTAGCCCAGACACTTACAATGAGGAATAACTAAAGAACTGCATATGCAGTTGTCAAGAAGAATCATGGTCTATGGGTTGATACAAATGAGTAGGAAATTAGAAACCTGAATTCTGTTCCCATCTCTGCCACAGTCTTGTTTTGTCAGGCAAGTTACTAGCCCTCTCTTTACTATACCTATTTTTTTTGAACATGGACATTATGAGGATTAATCCATTAATGTTTGTAAAGTGGGTAGAAATCCACGGGTGACATTGGGATCCTCAGGAGGCGCTATAGGAGGGCGAAGTATTATCATTTGTTAACTCGGTATTTATTTACAATATTATTGCTTACGCAGTAAAGTGCAGCTGATTCCTTTTGCGGGGGCCACAGTTTCTGCTTGATACTGCCCCAAAGGCTTGTCAAGCAGGGTCCCCTTGAGCAATATAGGTACAGCAAAATAATGTTACATATTTCAGAAATAATCTGATAGAACTGGACAAAATCATCTTGGCATTGGTGTGACACTAACAAAGGCTGGTTTGCACAAAACCAAGATACACAAAGTTGTGCTCAACGTTGTGAATACTCACAACAATATTATTTTTAAGCAAAATAATTCTTCTTTCACTTTTGTCCCCAGTTCTTGCCCATATCCCCCCTCCTGTGCTCTTCTCCTCCATCCCAACACCAATCATCCCCATTCCCAGATCCTGCCCCTCCCTCCATGGAGCATGCTTAGTGAAGATGGAATGTGCAAACTGAGGTTTTTCAGAGGCTTATAACTTGGCCAAGTTTAGACATTTTTTCACAGGAACAGCAAAAGACACATCCCTGATATCATGGTGACTCCCTCTAACTCCTGTCAAGTTTCAACTCCCTTCACTAAAGCATGAAGGTGCTAGCGTTTCTCAATGCAATAGTTGTAAGATTTTTTTTTAACATGGGCAAAACAACATTTTTAGCTGAAATTTCCCAAAATATTTCAGCTTTAGGCAGACACCTGGCACTGAAAATTTCGACACCAGGAATTAGTTTGGCAAAGTTATAAGTAACTGAAAACAGTGTCTTATAATTGAATGTGTCAGGCAATAGTAACTATACGTGTCACTAGTTGCACCACCTATATTTACTTAAATCAGGGAAATAATCTCTCTCTTACTTTAAGTGAGTATGTAGTGATGGTTGACCTCAGAGACTGTCCTCTTTGCAGCCTGCCTAGATAAAAGCTATATCTCTATTCTTCCTTTATTTTGTGCAGAGTCACTTGCACAGTTGTAACACCAGTGGGTTTAATACCCCCAGCAGTGCTAATACTTTGCATCTCAGGCCAAAACCCTAAGGGCAGGTAGATGCTTAGGGGCTTGGAATGTTATCAGCTGCTCAAGGAGAAACACAAGGTGAAGTTGGCCCTTAGCAAATGAAATCCTGTTCTGTCACCTTTAAGCATCAGTGCAATTTGTCATTAACTTACAGGGTCAAACTTTCATAAATGGCCTTGAAATCTGAAGCTGCAGTTTCATGCAGAAAACCCTATAGCTGTGCATACAGTTGTCTATGCAGGCAAATTCAGGAATGGTGGGGTTCTACGTGCAAAATCATGTGTGCAAATTTGAAAGCCAGTATGTAAATATGGCCTTTAGAATTAGGAAATGTCAAAACCAAGGGAACGCTGCCTGTCTGTTGGCTTATTGTCATATTATTCTCTCCAGGGATTAAAAGGCAAAATGCCACCCACAAAGATAAAATACAAAACAACGTCCTGTCTGTGTTTTATTTTCTGTTTTATAGGCAATCGTCCCTATGTGGTGCTCATGGCGCGTGTTCACCCTGGGGAGAGCAATGCCAGCTGGGTAATGAAGGGGACCGTGGAGTTCCTCGTGAGCGGTGACCCCATTGCTGAGCTCCTGAGGAAATGTTTCATTTTCAAAATCATCCCCATGCTCAATCCAGATGGAGTCATCAATGGCAAGTAAGTTGTGACAACCTTTGTTTACCCTGGGGCTATCTGAGAAGCCTTCCTTGGACCTATATGGGAAACTTTACCTCAGTCTGGGCAGCAAGCCCTATCTCTGGGAGCTGTTGGTCAGGAGAACATCCTTCCTATGGATCCTGGCATTCCTGTGTTAGTCACATATAGCCACACAATAGTCACTTGTTTGGTGTCTGATTTCACAACTGTGAACTGTGAGTAGCAATAATAGCCCTCAGCTGCCAGGGCAGAGCTCTGCCACAACCACATGGCCTAACTTGGCTCTAGCTGGCTAAACAGAAATCCATCTGTCCCTGCTAAATCATTCAGTGCAGACGTCACCTGCAAGACAGCAATGCTTGGGAATAACTTGCTTTAATTGATGTTTTGCATAGCCTGAGACGGGGGAAGAGGATTACGGATCTATTTTACCTTTGTGTTTTCATTTAAATACTTCCACCCAGTGATGCTCCCTTCATCTCCCCACTCACGTTTCTTGATGGATTTTGAGTCCTCCTGGGCCTATGGAATGCTGATCTGCTCTGGATTCCCTTGGGGGATGTCTGCACAGCAAAAGCGGTGCGTGGGCTCACCTACCTGAGCTAGCCTGGGTAACAATAGAAGTGAAGACAGTGCCGGGAGGACTTCAGAGTGGACAGTGAGCTGAGTACGTACCCTGGGTGTCTGCTGGGCTTGTATTACCTGTGCTGCAGTGCCCACGTTGCATTGTCTTCGCTGCTATTACCCTTGCTAGCTGGATTCAAGGGAGCTCAGGTAGGCTAGTTGTACACGGCTTTTACTGGGCAGACATACTCCTGGAGTCTTCTTTGCATGCCCCCTCCTTTTCCACCCCAACACATGCATACATGGTCACTCACTCCCTCGCTCTCTTGACTGAATTGAAGAAAGCACTATCCTGCTTCTGACATAGAAACCTGAAATACAAGGTAGCCAGTGAGTTGGAGAGAGACCCTATTTTAGAACTGGGCTAGATGAGATGGGCTTGTGGGATATTTGGGGAAACCCCAAATGCTTCTGAACATGGAGTTTACCCACTTGCAATGGGTATTTGGTAGTGGCACTATAATATATTCACTGTCACTACCTGCTGATTACAGCTAGAGGAGTTGCTCCTTTTGGTCAGGTGTCAGGACTTCCATTTTTGGTGCTGAAGGTGTTAAGTTTTTGATCCTCACTGGTGACCATGGTTCATGCGTGTGCATGGCCATGGTTTGTTATACTAGGCTAATCTCAAAAGTCTGGGAAATTGGTTCAGACAAGCACTCAAAAGTCTGGCTGCTCCTTCAGACTTCTTGAGTGTGTAAAACTGTGTTGGGATCTTCTGGGAACACCCTTCCCTGTGGCATGTGGACCCTTCTGATTTTGGTACAGGCTGGATGAGACCCACGGGTGCAGAGACAGTAGCAGAAAATGAAAAACAATGAGAGAAACCGAACAGAACTTTATCAAACTTCCCAAATCAATTCATTCTGAGTTGGTGCAAAAGCTTCAGTGGGCAGGTGCTGGAGGTTGCTTTGATATTCCCCAGCCTGTCACAATGCTATGAACCATCATGTCATTCATGATATATCACCTCCAAGGAAGCTGGTACAACAGCAGCTTGGCAGCTCCATTTGATAGAAAAAGACATAACCCCTGAGTGTTCTAGGTCTCTGCAGACATTGAATGCCCTAATCCTTCCAGGCAGCAAAGGCAAATGGAAGGTGGATGGGTTTTTTGTTCCCCCTGCCTCCCTTTCACTGTACTTAAAATCTCCAGCAGATGGAGGACTGGAGGGAACGACTGACCTTTCTTTCTCAAGCATTCAGGAGGTGACTCTTTAAGGGTGGGACCTCAGTGGGGAGGACAGAGCTCTGCATGGCACTTCGATGAAGTGCCACTTCTGTGCTCATGTCACCCAGGAGGAACTCCGCCTCACCAGGCGCAGAGGAGCTCAAACCTGACTCGGGTGACGGGAGCACCTCTTGCTTGAGAGATGAACCAGGAGATCCTGGTTCTATTCCTGGCTCTGCCATTGACTGCATGGCCCTGGGCCAGTCAAGGCTTGTCTAGATGACCAGTTAGTGCATGCCAAGTTGGGGTGCAAATCTATGGCACCCTAGCCTGCCACGCGCTAGAGGTTCCCTGCTGTGCTTTGATCTCCTCTACCTTGGAATGGGGGTAGATAAGTGCACGTGCCCAGTAGGGAACTTCTAGTGTGCAGTAGCAGGTCCGCATGGCCGGTTAGTGCATGGCAGGCTAGTGTGCTGTAGATCTACACCCAGCTTGCTGTGCACTAACCGTTCATCTAGGCAAGCCCTCAGTTTGCCTTTTTGTGCCTCTGTTTTCCCAGCTGTAAAATGGGGATAAACATAGATGTTACAGATGGAAAAGACCTATATCTAGTCCATCTCCCTGCAAATGCAGGATTGCTGCCCATGGTACATTTACGAGTGTTTTACCTGGTCTAGTTTCAAATGTTACATTGACTATTCCACAACCTAACACACAGTATAGCATGCACAGGAAGGGTTTCTGATACTCAGTGTATATTTTTCCCATCTCCTAATTTAATCCCCCCATTCCTGGTGACACCCTTTATAATTATGTTGTGAGGCTTAATTAAAGTGTGTAACATACTTTGAGATCTTGAGGTGGAAGGCGATAGATAAGTGCCTAACTCTATCCATCCACCTGCTTTTGTAGCTTCCAATTTATTACACAGTGAGAGAATGGAGATGCCAGTGTTAGGGGGCAGGAAGACATCTCACTTGTCTCTTAACGTGGCTTCACCCTTCTGTGCCCCCTCTGCTCTGGTGAGATATCCCCCCTCCAGGCTCGCTCCTTTCTCATAATTCCATCAGAAATAATAGCTGGAGAGGCGAATGATCTCAAAACCTCCAGTTTTCACACCAGTGAGATACTTCTGTATCGGCCTCCACTTGGGAGCCATAAAGGAGTCGAGAGCCATGTACTGGGATTGTTATTAATTTGTATTACAGTCGTGCACAGAGGCTCTGACTGAATTCAGGGCCCGATGGTGTTAAGCCTTGCACATGTACACAGTCCGAAGTGGTATCTGCCCCAAACTGCTCACAGTTTAAATAGACAAGGCAGGCAAAGTGTAAGAGAAGAAACAAAGGTACAGCAGTAAAGTGACTTGCCCAGGGTCACCTGGGTTAGTGGCAGAGGTGGGACTAGAACCCAGGCCTCCTGACTCCCAGTCCAGTGCCCGCTCCCTGGAAGCGGCGCGGGCCGAGGGATGTACTGGCCGCCCTTACCGCAGCCCCCATTGGCCTGGGACGGCGAACCGCGGCCAGTGGGAGCCGCGATCGGCCGAACCTGTGGATGCGTCAGGTAAAGAAACCGGCCCGGCCCGCCAGGGGCTTTCCCTGATGGGCCGCATGCCAAAGGCTGCCGATCCCTGCCCTACTCCCTGCCTCTCCTGGGCCAGGATTCCCCCTCCCCCCACATCTCATTGCCTCCCCTCCCAGCCCCATGCCCAAAGGATCAGGAGGAAATAATGCCTTCCTCTTCTCTTTCGGAAGGCTCTTAGAGGAGCCAGCCAGGGCAGTTTGATTGAGATGATTACCTTGAGCATCCCTGCCTGGCTGTGGCTTTTTAATGAGCAGAGTGATTGCAAATCTCTCCCCTTTGGAAGCACAGACTTCTATCAATCTCCCCCCCCCCACTTTGTGCCGTGGATTAATGCTGCTCTAGTCCCCCTATCTCAGCATCTTTCCTTATTTAAGAGAGGATTAAATTTTCTTTGTTGGCAGTGCTTTGAAGCTCCTCCTCCCCCTATCTTCCCTTGGTGCCAGAGCATGCATAATACTTCATCGCCAGTCATGGAGATGGATGCCAGTGCGTGGCATTTACAAAGGGCTCCTGCTAGCAGCCCTGTCACCCCCGTGGCTCCCCGCCGTACCCACCCCAGCGGAAGAGCACTCTCATCCCAGCAGGGCACTGCATGATCACACTCCAGAAGCCTCGTGCAGTAACAAGACAAGCAGGGCCTCGCTGTTTGCTTTGGCTAATGTGATCTGAAAGTTACACGCGGCAAATATTCCTCTAACGCAGACATGAGTGCAGTAATGTGATTACACTCCAGCAGCACACGGCCGAGATGGGAAACATCTCTCCTCCCGCCTCGACCTCCCCAGCTCTTCATTTCTTTCAGTGCTTTTACAATCTGTCCCCATCCTTCAGCAATGGAAGGAATCACAGCTCTGGAACTGACCGTAAATGAAGTGTGTGTGCGGGGGGGGGGGGTGCTTTTCATATAAAAAGTAGCTCAACAACAGTCATCACAGCTGAACCTGGCTTTGTACAAACCCAAAAGAAATTGTCAGCATCACAGTGTGATTGTTGTGGTGTTTGACTGAATGCACTGGTCCTAGACCCTTTCCCAGAGAACAGCAGTCAGGCATGTAGCCAATCAAATGACAGACCTGATTCATTTTGTTATATATGTTAAGTAAAGTATTAGAGGTTCCTTATCAGTGCCTCTCCTAGCTCTCATCAAGAGGTGGGCATTATATATTTCCAAGGGCAGGGAGCAGTCTGAATGGCTTTTTAAAAGAACTATTTTAGCTAAAAATGAAACAAAGAAATAAAGAACCAATATAAAGACTCTTATTTGACAGAGAGCGAGAGCACAGTGTGTGAGACTCATTCTGCAATAGCAGCCATCTTGAACTGGTTAGCAGAGAGTGGTCTTGCACGCAGGCAGCGTACCCGCTTTATTGTAAAATCTGGGTCTGGAGACCTGGGTTTTATTCGTGGCTCTCCCACTGACTTGCTGTGAGACCGCTCTGTGCTTTAGCTTCCTCCCCCCTAAAATGGGGATAATTATGCTCTCTCACCTCTAGAAAGCATTTCAGATCTCTGGATGAAAATTGTGTAGATGCGCTTGGAGACTTGGTATATTCTCTCTTCAAAACTGCCTAACTTCCATGTTTTAAATAGTTCGCTGTGGTGTGACTTGTTCAAAGGCAACA